TTTCCAGAATTGTAAAAACATGGTCCTTTAATAGGGTAGAGCAGTAAAGCTTCCGTCCTTAACATTTTTTCCTGCATTAATTTTACTTTTATACTTTAAGTAGTTTTAAAAATGGTACTTTTACACTTTAACTTAAGTAAAAAGCTTAAGGTGATTCTCTAATTTCTACAAAAGTGTTTTTAAACAGCAGGATTGATACTTCTACTGAAACAATAATAAGAATTAATACTTTTGACAACTCTGAAAATATTCAAAACTTTCCATATATGCACCACTTTGTTTAGATGACATCCAATCCTGAAAATACCTGAAAAATATTCTAAATTTTATGACTGTCATGTAAAATGTGGAAAAATATAAGGTGTATGAATACTTTACCAAAGCCAGTAGGTAGAGTCAAACCCTTTATGAAAAAAACAGGACGTATTTCCTAATTGCATCAGAGGGACAGAGAGCTACACACCTGGCCCTCCTCAGAGTAATCCACAGTAACAGAGGCGTTGCTCTCTGGGGGGGTGTAGATGTTTCGGTAGTATCCCACGGATCTGATGGTCTGCATGGTGTGGCGAGCCACGCTGGGCATGGTGACGGCAGACAGGCGGCTCCCAGAGTCGTAGTCGAAGATGTACTGATGCTGGCTGTGCAGCAGCAGCACCATGGACTGTCAGAGACAGGACAGCAGATCAGAGAGGACAGACAAAGGGACAGTGGACAAATTTGTTACTTTAATAAAAAAGAAAGTGATGGCCAATCATCCAGTGTAGAATAAACACTGGGAGCTGTTTTCTTATCCAGACTATCTCCCTGCAGACGACCGATTTCATGCACTGCTGCCTTTTTCGCCCATCTGTGATTCTAATTTCTGCTCTGTTGTTCTTTCTCCACTCATCTCTCCCTCTGTCTGACATCCTAACTAAGCTCCTCGTTTCCCCTGAGTCTTGTCTCATAGGCGTACCTCTGTCTGCCTGCCTGTCCCTCCATGGCTCTCAATCATTCCCCTCTGTATGTCCTCACAAACAAGGCCAGGTGCTGTTCAGTGTCCGGCCCTTCCTAGGCTCACACAGCAGAACTGTTGGATTCAACCCCCTCTTCCTCCTCACACTGTTTGTTTTTTGTTTTTGTTTTTTTTTCCAGCTCCATCCTAAGCTCCCTTAGAGATGTTTTTCAAAGCCACTCACTTTTAATGGTCTCTTCTTTTACTCTCTCCTCTCTGTCAGCCCTGCCTTCCTGACATCAATAGCTGCTTTCATTTGAGGACAACATACTTTCTTGGCGCTCGTTTCCTTTACTTCACCCTCTGCCTTTCCAAAAACTGCCTTTTTAATGCCTTTTGCCATCTTTTGGAAGTCCACAGATTGCCTGGAACACGTTAGCAGACCCAGAATTATACAGCAGCTTCTTAAACGGTCCACGCTAAACCATCCTACGTCTCTGTCATCATGCAGCTTTCTTTATTTATTTATTTGCATTAAAATGAACTCAGAGAGATGGTTGAATAATTATGACATTAAAAAATCAACTAGTCTCTAGGAGAATATATACACAACACACACACACATATATATATAGCAGCAGTTCTAATAGAGGTTGTTCTAAGCACTGGAACAACTCAGCCACAGCTGTCTGATGGAACCAGTTTAACATCTTCTGGTAAAAATCTTCATGGTCAGATGAAGAGATGCTCAATCATTTACCAACTAAGACATAAAGATATTTAGAAATGTCAATGACTTCAAACCTATCACCATTAGACCAACTATTAAACACGCGAGGGTGAGAATCATGCTGAGGGGCTGATTCAGAGCTTCTCTGGAAAGGATGACTCCCTCAAAGTACTTTGAGTTTATATTAAATTGGAATTTTGGACCCAGCTGGGAATTTTTAAAAAGATTAGGAAGAAACTCGAACGTTACATTTGGTTTTAAATGGAGTTGAGCCCAATGAACTGTGGTTAAAAGGCAGATCTGTGGCAGGAAACCAGCCTGGTTTCCTGCAGGTGATCCAACTGGTCTTATTTCTGTGTTGAACGATACTGGGTGGTACAGTAGCAGCCGTTCAAAATGGCTCTACCCAGTGAAAGACGGCCGAATGGCAGCAGAATCCCCTCTAACTTCCAGCCGCTGGCCTTCTTATGGGCATGCA